ATAGTCCCCTAGTAGCGTAGCCAATCAAAATGCAGGATTTGCATTAGTCCACTAGTTGGGTGATACTAGTCCCGAATAGTGCGAATAGTCTCGAATAGTGCGAATAGAGGCGAACAGTGACGAATAGTCGTCAATAGTCACCGCCTTAGGTCTAATATCCTTGCGTTAATCAATTATCCAAATAAGCAACATAATTTCATTGAATTTATTACCTTTTCTTCTCCGGACTCAGGCTCGGGCTGTCCATCGCCGACATTAAGAAAACAGAAAACACAAGGATAACCTAATAAAGACGTATTTACGCTTTTGGAGTGGTTAAAACAGAAGAAATTACCTTTAGAAACACTTTTTGTCCTAATAAGCGTCTGTGCTTTTTAGCGGGAAAATCCCGTCCTACGCTGCTGCGAGGTTGACTGCGAGATACTGGGTACCTTATTTGCTGCGATTTGCTACTAATTTGCCACTATTCGCCACTATTCGAGACTGTGCGTCACTATTCGCATTATTCGAGACTATTCGTACTATTCGCTATTCGGGTTTTCCAGACACCCAAGTGCACTGTGCCTGATGGTGTTTATGAAGTATGGCGAATTGTAGTAAGCCAGTGGATGTATGGTTTTGTGGAAGTAATTGGGCCGCCTGGTGGTTGAAGGACATGATTAAGTCTGGAAGCCCGTAAGTCAGTAGCATCTGTCGAAGAAATGACAGGTGTTGTGCTGTTGAAACTACTGAATAGCGCTATTTGGGCGCTGGAGATGGCCGTCGGTAGTGAAACGCAGATGGATCCAGGTGGATGGTCTAAAGGCAGATTTCTTGCGGAAAACTATGTCAGCGTAAAATGTGGCCTATCGGCAAAGGTAGAGCACAGACAAGATTTGCGAGAAGATAGCTGCTTTTGGACTTGTAATATTTCCCTTGAAGAGTAGGAGAAGAAGATTCATCGCAAATGAACTAGCAGCATACTACGTCATGTAAGCGATGACAAAACATCCTCACCAATCTCCCCAAACATTCCGCGGATCCAGCTACGTTCCTACCAGGAGCCATAATCGGGGACGGAGACCGTAAGTCTCGGGATTCGCGCGCACCTAGAACAAATTACGCCATCCTGACGTCATATATCCGCGCGGATTCACGCACATGTCAGGGGCTCTCGCGTGGATGTTGTCACGTTGCGTGATCAAATG